CAGCCAGCACAACTGATTCTGAAGGCCTGGACAGATCAGATTGATATGGCAGCTCATAGAAGCTGAAATCTGATTGAACGAATGAACCGTAAGCAGTGCAGTCAAGTGAATGGAATAAACTGCTACAATTACATGGCTCAAATACACACGCCCATCTCTGTGGGCGGGCCATAGAGGGCTGTTCCTACTCACCAAGATGCTTGTGCCCCCCAACCCCTCCACCACCCACTTGAGACATGGAACCCGAAACATGGAAAATATATTTTTATTTGTATGTTAAGAAATGCTTGTGGAGGCTCTCAGTCGTACAGGAAAGTTCCATCGTAGAAAGGGTTCTGTCAGTCGTCATCTGTACCTGTGGGTAAAAAACAAAAAACAAAAAAAGGACGTTTCGCTTCTCTCATAGAAGCTTCGTCAGCAGTAGACAACTCTGAAGTCTCCGTGAAGACTCCGGGAAATATGCGTTTAAAGCAATAAAAACTCAAATGAGTGTCACACCTAAACAAAAGGACTTATGCACACATTTCAACATGTATTTCTAAATTCCCTATCGTTGGGTCTTGATTAGGCCTATTGTTTGGGCTAGGGCTGAATAGCTACTTTCATTTGGCCTGATCAGCATGTCTATGTCCCTTGGTGGTCAACAAGTTATTGTAAATAGGAGACAGGTTAAATCTGATACTTCCTTCACGGTTCAGAGAGGGTGAAAATTTTTTAACAAAAATCGCTTCCTTTACTCCCCTTTCAAACCATCTCTTTTCTGTTCCTAGGATTTTTACTTGTTCATCTTCAATTGTGTGGCTTGTTTCTTTTAAGTGTGCGTATACTGCACTTTTGTTATCATTGTTTTTCCATTTGTGTTGATAAAGTCTTTTCTTGAGTGTTTGTTTGGTTTCTCCGATGTAATGTTCCTTGCACTCACTTTCTTGGCAACGGATGGAATAAATCAGATTGCATTTTTGGCTGTTAGGAACCCGGTCTTTGGGGTGTACTAGTTTTTGTCTCAATGTGTTTATCGGTTTAAAATAAACAG